GGGGGCAGCAGGGCAGGCCCTACGAGGAGAGGGTACGGGACCTGAACCTGTTCAGCCTCCACAAGAGAAGGCTGAGGAGGGATCTAGTGGCCTGTTAGAAACTAGTCAGAGGGGACTAGCAGGCACAGGGAAAGTCCCTGTTCCCCCGAGCATTACCAGGAGTGACCAGGAATAATGGTCACAAGCTGGCAGAGGGTAGATTTAGGCTAGATATCAGGAGGCACTGCTTCAGAGTCAGGGTGGCTAGGATCTGGAACCAACTACGAAGAGAAGTGGTGCTGGCTCCTACCCTGGGGGTCTTTAAGAGGAGGCGAGATGTACACCTTGCTGGGGTCGTTTGACCCCAGTACTCTTTCCTGCCATGGCAGGGGGGTCGGACTAGATGATCTACTCAGGTCCCTTCCGACCCTAGAAACTATGAAACTATCTCTGAAACAAAATGGCTGCTGAAACGTTGCACAGCCTTAATATATATGTATATATACACATATGCGCGCGCACACACGCACACACAGTATAATAACAGTTCAGTTGTCTCAGCTGAGCCTCTAATTTGACACAGTTATTAGGTGGATGGTTTTGTAGGTATATACTCCTCATGTATATTCCATTTAGAATTATAATGTGAGCATTTCTTGTTTTGATTAACAGAGCTAATGCAATGCATTCCAAGCTATGCACAGTTTATTCTCAGTGTAGCTGAAAAAGGTATAATAAGTGGCTTCATAATCTGTTTTCATTGCTCTGGAATCATGGGCTAGCTAGAAGCCAAAGGGGCAACCAGCGTAATTGTAATGGTCACACAAGTTCTGATGTACCAGATGGAGATTAGAAGTGCATTTTGCATTTCATCAGTGTTGGTTGTAACATAGGCAGATAAGGTTCTTTGGGTAAATATAGTATCTTTTTATTCGATCAACTAAATAGTTGGAAAACTTGTTCTTTGCAAACTTAGGGGTAAAAACACCCTTCTCCCTCTGCCTGAAGAAGGGTGTTTGTACCTGAAAGCTTGTAAAGAACAATTTTTCCAACTATTAGTTGATCTAATGAAAAATATCACATTTACCCAAAGAACCGTGTCTACTTTGCATTTTATGCCATTCATTCCTGCCCCTGGCATATCCCCTTCACAGCATTATGAAGAAATAGCTGCGTAGAGCTAGTTTTTAGTGAACCAAAGCTATTTTTATCTAGTTTGTAGCAATGTTTCTTTGCAAAAGAGATGGAATCAGGATGGTGAACCTGACTTTATGAGTTTGCGTGTAACAGCTGTTTTGGAAGAAGATAGTTGTTGGCTTTTTAATAACATTGTAACATTAAATATTTTCTTAGATGTTCCAATCACATATCAAGCGGAAGGAAGCCGGCAAGCCTTGAAGGTTTACTTCTATCTTGATAATTACCATTTTGAGCAACTTCCTCAACGGTTAAAAAATGGAGGAGGATTTAAAATACACCCAGTACTTTTTTCACAAGGTAATTTTATTTTAACCTCTTAAAAAGTGTCAAGAAAATCTGCAGTGTTATTTAGGCTCTACTTTAGTAAAGTATTTAGTTGCATGCATAATTTTAAGCACAAGTCAGAAATAGAACCTTATTTAAAATGATTTGTTTGATTAGGGCTTTAAATCTAATGTGAATTTTAATTTTAAGAAATGTAGACATTTATATAAATACTAAATTTCCACAGCTACACTTGAAAACTTAAGCCAGTCTTATTAATACAGATACCAGAGAGGGTTATCTTTTCTTTTGTAAATTCACAATATTAGTGGACATTATTAGTGGATATTAGTGGACAATTATTGGTCCTGAAAATGAAAATGACATTAAAAATCATATAGAGGATTGAAGTGATATTCAAATAAGTATTCTTTTCTTTTAACATTTATTCATTTATTGAGAATGAAATATCTTTTCTAGCATCTGTAGTTATGACACTGTAAACATTATTGAAATGATGAATGCAATGGTGCTTATGCACTCATAAATTGCATACAGCCTACAGTTAGCAGAGGTGTCATTATAGTTATCAGGAACATGGGGTTTGATTCACCAAAGTGATGAATACCTCCTACAAGGTGCTGATTGCCTTCAGCCTCCTTAGAATTCAGGGGGTTGAGAGCTCTCACTACCTTGCAGGGGGCATTCAGTACCCACACCAAATAGGTTCAAATCAGGTATGTAAACGAAAGGAAGAATTCCAGGGAACTTTTGATCTAATATTAATTAAATAGGATACAAAAATATGTAAAGGCTGATAAATTTGGATATGCTGCAAAAACACATTTGTCTTTTAAAAGATAGCTCATTTTTATATAAAGTCTGAAAGAAATAGTTGGGTGAATTTGCTTGAACTATTTATAGATCTAAATTCACTCACAGGGTGAAAGAGAAGACTCAACAACAGCAGGAACATTTCAGCAGATGAGATTATGAAAAAAATGCACAAAGGAGAATAGGAAATCATTTGGTTCCAATAGGATCTTGAATATGTTGATTTTTCTCTTGTTTAAAATGATTTTCATCATCCTTCAGGAACTGTCTGTCTTATCTGTTGGGCCTGTACCTAGATAGTTAGACATGCCACCTCCTCTCTGGGTGAATGGTACTGGTTGTGTTTTCCACAGAGTAGTTAAGTAGCTACGTTTTGTAGGATTAGTGTCTGAGAGAAGTTTTAGGGCATCTTTACATGTGGTCTGGGGTGGGAGCTGCTGTAATTAAAGTGCTCACATATATTCAGCATCCCATGCTTCAAAATGGTGGTGGGGGTACTTTAACTAAAGCTGGTTGAACAAGCTTTAGCTAAAGCACCCCACAACCACTTTGAAGCAGGGGAACACTGAAATAGACAAGATGTTGAGGCTAATTAGCACACTCCAGCAGACTTGATTAATTGAGTCCGCTCCTTAGTTTAAAATCTTCATTAGTTTCAGAATCTTCATTAGGGCTGTCATATGTTTCTCTCTGCTTGTAAAACCAGACATTTCAGAACAATGTGCCTAAAATATAGACTTCAATAAAGAGATAATGATAACACTTTATAGGATCAAGGCATTAATTTTAGGCTTGTAAGAGACTCTACATTTGGGGATGGTTCTCTTATTAAGTCTCATTGGTGAATTTATATCCATTGAATGAATACTTTTTTTTACTTAAGTACTTTAGAATTTAAATTTGATGTTAAAAAACCCACTTGTTTTTGACTTTTAAAAAAAGTTTATACTTAAGTTCTGGAGGTTTTCAGTTGGGTGTTAAAAATATATAGAACAGAAATACATCTCCACTCTATTATACTCCTTTCTGAAGGGGAGAGCAAAATAGCACTTAGGCCCAGATTCAGCAACAATATCCACTAAGGTGGAACATTTTAAACCTGTAGAGTCCATTAAGTACAAAAATATCGGCCCTCCTTGATGGTCCTCAGCAGGGTTTGAGGAAGCAGTATTTAATGTCTTCTAATAAGAAGCAAAATTTGTTAACTTTGAAAGTACTCAGAGGAATTGTGATTTACATATTCTTCAACCTCAGATGAATAATTTATTGACTGGTTGTATTAAGAGCTTCCAGCAGAATTAGCATTCTGTGTATAATTGGGCCTGTGAACCTGCAAGCTATACCCATCAGAATTCTGCTTATTGCATGTATTTTCTGATTATTCCATGCAGTGATAAACTCTTAAAATTTGTATGGATTATTATTCAAGTAGCAGTGTTCCTAACTGTAAAATCTTTAGTGCTCCTCCCAAACAAATGTATTTCATTAGAGTCCATTGTTTGCATTATCTGTCTTAAGATCTTGCTTTTGTCTTAAGGTCTTGCTTGACCTGCAAAAAATCTTTAAAAATGAACAGGAGTTGGTTATGAAAAACTGATTAAATATATTTTCTAAATTAAATGAAGTGAGGTATGTGTGGGTGTGGGGAAAATCAGAAAGAGTAAATGAGTTAAGAACCACATCCGTGTACTTATCATTTATATTCATTGTTTATACTTTTTTCATTTAACTTAAATGTAAATCTAGTTTGTGCTGTAGCAATATACCCAGTATACCATTTATCCTTTTACTGTATTTACTCAAATATAAGACAACCCTGATTATAAGATGACCTCCCAATTATCAAATTCTATATATGAAAAATTTATAAAGTTGTTATAATTTCCCAAGTATAGAATCCAATTATTGAAGGTTTGCCTTGAATTTTTCCCTCTCCCACTGCTACAGCAGGGAAAGTAAATCTGGGGGTCAGGTGCCTCCTTTCCTGCACCTCTACCCCCCCAATCTATCTTCCTTACTATCACACTCTGCTCTCCCTGGGGACAGAAGTGAGAGGCAAATTTGAAAACACTGACCTAGAAATATACATACCTTAGGTAACTTACAGACAGGAAAATTACTACAGGTATCCATGGATGTGGCTCATCAATAACTGATGCAAGTTTTAGAACAGGTACTCCATAAATACTTACAACTTTAAGAAGCAACTATATACTTACTTGCATATAGTACAAACTTTTTTTTTGGAATTATTTTTCTTCCAGGTCAAATTAGCCAGATCAAATCAGAATCCATTTGAATAATTCAGGAGCCATATGTGGCCCTCTTACTGGAAAGCATCTTCCACCCCAGCCTGGGGCATCAAAAACCACCTTAAGAAACTTGCACACCTGCTACAATAACTGCACCTGCTCCCCTGCACCCATGTGCTCCCACCCTCTGCCCTTCCGTAACCCAAACACAGTCCCTTAGTCCAGGCCCCGATATGGGGTTTCCCTTCTCAGTTCATTCAGTGTCCTTATTGCTGTTGATGTCACTGTCTCTTCCACTGCTGCTGATCATGTTGTTGTCCTCCTCACTGTCTCCAGGTCCAGTTGTGTCATTGTCCCCTTCGTTCTCCCTGTCCACTTCCCTTTCCAGAGGGACTTTGAACAGCCTGTGCCATGTGTCCTTTTTCCAGGTGGAGTTGGCTTCCATCCTCTCCCACCGCTTTCCAGTAGTAGGACTGGAGTTCTCTCAGAAATATTTAACACAATCCATTTGCTTGAGCTTAGTGTGAGGTTCCACTAAGGAACATCAGGAAGTTCCTGCATTGCCACAGGGTGCTCCTAATGCAGGACACAAACTGGTCAAAGTGGGTTGTCTGGGACCCCTGATGTTTAGTCAGGTGTCTGCACAGCGTTGCCTCCCTTGTCATCAGCCTGGCTCCTGTCACTTCCTCAAGGAGCTGGCTTACCTTTTTCCACACTCCCTTGGCATAGGGGCAGAGCCAAAGGAGGTGGCTGATGGTCTCATTCTCGCCTTGGCAGCTTGCCCTGGGGCAGCTGGGTCTAGACTCTCATCTCGCTCTGTGCCTCTACACCTTCACTGGGAGTATGCTGTGAGCTATGCACCAGTTCAAGCCTCTGTGGTCTTTTCTTAGGTTTTTGTGGAAGATCTGGTCCCAGACAGCCTGGCAGTCACCATCAGGGAGCAGCTCCATGGTCAATAGCCTGTCTCTACCTCTGACTGCTTTCTGTATCTTCCTGTGGTTGGACATGATCTCTGGGCTTTCCTTCTGTAGCCCATACTCTCTCCAGAACTCCTTCAGCACACTGTAGAACCAGGGGTGCTCCATGATGCATGGTCTCCTTCTGGCTGGTGCATACACCTCCCACAGTCTCAGGAGGTGACCTGTAAAATACTTGAAAAGACAGATTGTTTTGCTTGCTAGCCTGGTCGCCAGCTTGCAGATCTGGCTCATGTACAGTGCCCACAGAAACAGGTGGATGTCTGGCATCCCCCTGCCCCAGGCCCATTTCTTCTTGTACATGGTCTTTCTTGCCACCTTCTCCATTCTGGATCCCCAAAAGAAGATGCACATGGCTTTCTGGATTCTGTGGGTGACACACTTGGGTGGGGGGAAGACCAGTGCAGTGTACAGAAGTACTGGTAGCAACACTGCCTTCATGAGTGCCACGCGCCCTGCCATGGAGAGGCGGTGTGCATGCCACAGACCTAGTCTCTGCTTCACTTTGGACTCCTTCTCCCAGGCGCTCCTTCCACTCAGCTCAGGGTCAAACTCCACCCCAAGGATCTTGACCTCCTCAAGGGGGACCAAGACTCCCAGGGACTCCGGGTTCCTGAGCTCACCCATGGTCAAGCAGGTGCTCTTGCTCACATTGAGCTTGGCCCTTGCTGCCACCTCGTAGATCCATGTGTGCCACAGGGCTCTCTCTACAGCACACTTATTCTGGCACAGGATATTCATGTCATCCATGCAGGCCAGGACCTTGGTCTCTTCCTTGCTTCCTCTGGGAATCAGGACTCCATGCATCCCGGGGTCCTGCCTGATGTGCTGGGCCAGAGGTTCAGTGGCACAGATAAAAAGGATTAGGGAGAGCGGGCAGCCCTGGTGGACCCCTGACTCTATCGTGATCTGTGCGCTGAAAAACCCATTGACCAGCACCTCACTGCTAATATCTGTGTAGAGTGTCCTTATCCAGGTGGTGAAGGACCCATTCACTTCAGCATCTTGAAGAGAAACGGGTGTGCCACTCTGTCGTAGGCCTTTTCCAGGTCCAGGTTCAGCATCACCCACTTCTGTCTTCTGGCCTGTTCCAACTGGAATGCATTCCTCGGTTGCAGCAGGGGTCCAACGATCTGGCATCCTGGTCCTACAAACAACTGGTCTTCATGGATGATGGAACCTAGGACAGATTTAAATTGCTCGGCCAAGACTTTGGCCAGCAGCGTACAGTCAAAGTTCAGGAGGGCAGTGGGCCTCCAATTCCTTAACTCTTCCCTCAGACCCTTCGTGTGCATTAGTCATGAGGCCCAGGTCCATCCCAGCCCCTAAACGGCCCTCCTACAGTCACTCTTGAAAGAGCTCCAACAGGTTGGGGCCTACCGGAACTCCTTGGGCAGGCCGTCCAACCCAGGAGTCCTACCATTGTTGAGCCTCCAGAGGGTCTGCTTGAGCTCCTTAAGTGTCTGCTCCTCCAGTGTTCACTCCTCCTCTAGCTGCTGCTGCTCAGCTTCTCTGAGGGCCTGGGTGAGTCCCTGCTGCATGGTCCTCCCATTGTGCAGTGTAGAATTCTCGGTAGAAAGTGGTCAAATTTTCCAGCATGCCTTCTTTCGACTGGTGCTCTGCTCCTGCTCCCTCTCTCAGGTACATCTTTGTTGTTCTTTAGTCTGGAGAAGTAAGCAGACTGCTCCTCCCCCTCTGCCACCCAGGGTGCCCTAGCCTGGAAGATATTTTTCCTGGCCTCGACCTTGTATCAGGCCCCAATCTGGGCCTTTACCTCCCGCATATCTTTCCTCACATCCCAGCCTGCTGCTGCCTGCCTGTGCAGGTCCTGTATCTTACGGGTCAGGTGTTCATGTTGCCTCCTGTGGGAGAAAGCTCATCACTTGCCGGCCTTTTGGAAGAACCTTGGTTCTGTTTTTGACACTGGTCCACCACTCTGTCTGATTCAGGTACAGGCTCTTGAGGGTCCTCCAGCCTGCACAGTGCTCTCTGTAACTTTGCTGGGTCTTTTTGGCTTCCAACAGCCTGGTGTTTAGCTTCCATACTCCCTTGCCCCTTTCTAGCCGACCTCCTATTTCTGCCTGGATTGCGAGGAGGCAGTGGCCTGAGAAACAGACAGGCATGGAGCGGGCTCCCTTTACCTTCCACCCTTAGGGGAGGAGGACAAAATCTATCCGGGTTTTGGTTTGCACTACTTCATCCACTCAGGTGAAATTCCCACTGGGGCCTTGGGCTTCTTTCCTGCAGTCTACTAGACTGTGGTCTTTGATCAGTTATTTCAGTAGCCTGGAGGATCTGTCTATGCCTGTCCTCTGGGCTCTGCTGACTTTACCTTCCTCGCTGATGATGCAATAGAAATTCCCTGTGATGATTACCAGCCAGCTGCTTGGCATTGTTAGGGACATGTTTTCTAGGAAATCGTACCTTGCCTTTGCTTTGGTTGGTGCGTACCCACACAGGACTTCAAACTCTGTCCCATTTGCTTCCATGGTGGCTTGCAGCAGCCTGCCTGCCACTATTTCTCTGTGCTGCATGGCGCACACTGTCTCCTTTCAGCAGAATTGTGACCCCAGTAGCTCTAGTGTTATCTGCCCTGACCATGGGGCTGCCCTGTGCAGCCAGCATTTGGAGAACAAAGAGCTGCTGGTGTTACTGGAAAGACCACACTCCTGCAGGTAGATCATGTCTGCTTCTATCTGTTCCAGAGTTTCATAGTGTGGCGCCCAATACTGGACACAGTACTCCAACTGCAGCCTGACCAATGTTGCATACAGGGGGAGTATCACCTCTCTGGACCGGATTGAGATGCATCTTTGGATGCATGGCAAGGTATGCCTGGCTTTGCTGGCTGTGGTTTGGCATTGGCGGCTTACGTTCATCTTGGAGTCAGTAATGACTCCAGGATCGCATTTTGCCTCTGTGCTTTCAAGACAGGAACTTCCCAGCCTGTATGTGTGCTGTGGATTCCTTCTTCCAAGGTGCAGCACCCTGCATTTATCTATGTTGAACCCCATCCTATTCTCATCTGCCCACTTTTGTAGTCTGTCTAAATCTATTTGCAGCTTCTCTCTCCCTTCAAGTGTGCCCACCTCACCCCACATCTTAGTGTCATCAGC